CAGGTAGGTTTATATGGAAGGAGGCAGTCCTTCAGGTATCCAGGGCCCAAGCCATTTAGGGCTTTATATGTCAAAACAAGCACTTTGAATTGGGCCCGGGAAGCAACTGGTAACCAATGTAATTTAATCAGAATCAGCTTGATATGTCCCCTAGCAGCCCCACCACTCACCAGCTGTGCAGCTCGATTCTGGACCAGTTGCATCACCGGACCATCTTCAAAGGCAGCCCCACGTAGAGCGCTTTTCAATCATCTATACGAGATGTTACCAGTGCGTGTGTAACTGTCATGAGACTCCGCTCATCCAGGTAGGGCTGTAGCTGGTACAATTTCTGCAGCTGAAGGAAGGCGCCCCTGGCCACTGAGTCCACCTGGGCTTCCAGAGTTAGACTGGGGTCCGGGAGCACCCCCAGGTTGCAGACCCTGCCCCTTAGGGGGAGTGTAACCCCATTCAGGGCAGGGGAAATGGCCCTCCAACCTGTCTGGTGAAGCACCTAATAACAGCACTCTGGATTAATTTCCATTTTACTGAAAATCATGTTAACTTTTTGGACTCCCAGAATCCCATAGCCAACATGCATACTTTATAACAGCGGTCCCCAACCTTTTTGGGACCGCGGACCGGCTGAGCCTTTGAGGAAGGCAGGGTACCCCTCCTCGCTTGCGCACACTCGGGTGCATGCACGAACCGGTGGGGGAGCACGCACACGCCCGCTGGCATGATCGCTCCCTCACCCCTTCATGCATGTGCAGGAGCGCCTGCATGCCCACCCACCCCTTTGCGCGGGCACTAGAGCGCATGCATGCGCAAAGCAGCTGTGGGGAAGGGAATGCGTGCAGGTTGGGGGTGGGGCAGGAGGTCTGTTTCTGTGGCCCGGTCCAGCTCAGGGCACAGACTGGCATCGGGCCAGTCGACCTCTGCTTTATAAGATTCTGGGAGTTATAGGACCAAAAATAAAAAAGTTTCCAATCTGTAAATTTAAAGAGTCTTTAAAGAGAACTTGAAAAGGCTCCTAAATTGACATAACTTTAATTGAGTTGCTTTTACTGTGCAAGAATGACTGCATAGGGTTGCTGCATAGATAAAACATGCAACCTTGAATACTATTTGTATTGGGAAAGTCACAGCAGCATTTTATTGTTATTGAATAATGTTTTTACTGCCCTTGTCTATTTTTAAGCACTTGAAAATGACAAGATTGATTCTCTCTCCACACAAGACCTTTGTCCATTTCTCCTATATGTCTCCTATATGTCTCTGAAATCTACATCACAAATTGGAGGCTGAAGTGGAAAGTAACTATCCAATACTGAAAGTGTTGATACAGTAGTATTTTCTCTTACAGCAAAAAAGGATTATGTGGAAAAAATACTTTTACTGTGCTAGCCGTATTTATGGAAGCTTGGGTGTATGTTAGGATTTGGGTTTAAAAATGACTGGTTATCCAATTGATGATGTACTGCAGCTCCCATCATCCCTGCCTATTTGTCAAGATGGCTGGGGTTGTTTGGATCTGAGATTCCAATAGTATCTGTACATTCATCGTTTCCCTACCTTGATTTAAGGCATCCCAGAGGGATAAAGGGTTCTTCTTCATGGTCTCTGTGAATGCACACTAATGGGTTAATCCGCGCTTGTGTGGAAGAGCCTCAGAACTTTCTAGCTTGAGCACATGGTGCCGAGACCTCTCCCATGCCGGCTATAACTCTGCCCCCAGCATCGAGTGCCTCAATTCCTTTCGACTGCCGCTGCAGCAGCTTCGTTAAGAACTTCGTGTTTGAATACTAAAATGAAAACTTACCTTCCCCTTCTCTTTGACCTCCCTGGCTTGTTTCTGGATCATTGACCTTTCTTCAGTGATTGTGAGTGACCTGCAATAAGAAAACAAACAGATAATTGTAAATTAGCGTTAATTAGAGGTTTATGGCCTCTCCAGGCCTCTTCAAGAGGTGCGAGGTCTGTTCAAACAAGATTCCTCTTTCTGACGAGCATCCCCGTTGTTTATTCTGCCTGGGGGAGGAACACCAACCAGCGTTGTGTACCTTTTGTAAAAACTTTACAAAGCTGGCTTTGAAGCTGCACTTACAACGCCTGAAGTCTTTTCTCTGGGAAAAGTCTCTTTTGCCTTCCCAAGGGCTGGTGATGGATTCGCCCAAGGCTTCCCAGCCTTCTCCAGCAACTTCGCCTGAGGCGGGAAAGGGGGAAAGCCACTTCCAAAACTAAGACCACCCTCAGGCTTGAGGGCAGCGGCAGCAGCATCCACCGCTTTGCAATCTTCATCTCCAGGCTCAAAGAAGAAGAGAAAGGTGTCTAAGGCTGCAAAGGCTGCAGAGAGTTTGGCACCAAGGCCGGAGGTATCCCAGCAACATACGGTAGCCCTAGCTTTGCCCTTGGGAGAAAAAGAGGGGCCCCTGCAGCTCCCACCGCCATCCCCATCTGTCAGTGATATTCTTGACCTCTTTGGAGTTTGTTGAACTGGCGCAGAACAGCCCTCATTCATCAATGGGCTCATTCACACAGCAGCCTGCGACTTCACCGCAGCTGCTGACCCCGGCGGAGGCTCCTAAGAAAAGGACCCATAAGACCCGACACCTGGAGCTGACTAAGTGGAGGTTTTCCTGCTTGTTGAGGCCACTGGCATTACGTTGACTACCCGGGGTCGTATCAGGCAGACGAGTTCAAGCTGGACCCATCCTTTTCTCCAGCACCCTATCATACCAACCCATATTTTCGGTATCGGCGCTATGAGCCCTATCTACAACCCTTTCTGCCACTGCTTCCTCCACATTATATACTTGGTGTTGCTTTGAGCCACAAGCCGAGGAAGGCTATATTCCTCCTTCTCCATCTCGGAAAAGAGGTGCTCCCTCGGGCTCGGCCACTGCAGTGGGGGCAAAGTGTCCTCATGTAACATCAGACCCGCAGTTAGCCCGATCAACATGCTTCATCCCTGCGGCTGACCTTGAGGCTGATCTCAATTGAGCTCACGCCGAGGAAGGCTTCTCTCCAAATCAACAGGAAGACTTGCCTTATTCTGACTCGGATTCACATTGATCAGTGGGGGAGGAAGAATCTCCAACCAATCTTCCTACACCAATATCGGATGTCACAGACAGTCATCCTCCATTGCCATCAGAGGATTATTCTTCGTATTCCCAACTGATTCATAGGATTGCGAAGTTCCTTGAACTTGAAGTTGAGATACCTGCATCAAAAAGGACAGATAAGGTATTTGAAGACATTGCACCTGTTCGTCTTGGTTTCACCCCTTCCTTTTTTGATCTAATGAAGGATGCTTGGGCTAAGCCCTCTACTTCTTATCAGATTCCAAGGAGGATCGAAAAATTATATAAGCTTTATGGGACTGAGGCCAATTGCCTCTTGAAGCACCCTCTTCTGAACTCGTTTGCGATAGACAGCACATAGAACAGAGCTCAGAATCGTTGAGTCACTTCTCTTCCAATAAGGAAGATCATAAACTGGACATTTTTGGCCGATGAATTTATTCTCTGGCCTCCCTTGTCCTTCATGTAGCCAATTATTCTGCAGCCATGGGTGCTTATCATCGCACTGCCCATTTTGCAGGCGGCTCCTGAGAAGGTTCGTAGCCAGGGCCTCTCATATCACCAGGAGGCCATGGGGCTTGCACGGCACGAGTGCATTGCTGCCCATCATGCCTTGGAAGCAGCTTCCAAACAATTGGCCACTGCCATCTCTTTGCGGCAACATGCTTGGCTAAGATCTGCCAACATATCAGAAGATGCCAGGGTACGGATTGAGGACCTGACGTTTGATGGAGTAGGAGTTTTTGATCAGAGAACTGTTGATATTCTTGATAACCTGCTCAAGCTCCAGAAGACGGCAGGATTGTTTGCGGCGCAACAACCTTGCTTGAGGGGTACCTAGAGGTGCTCTTACCAGATCTTGAGAATATTGTACATTAAGAAAGTGAATTTTGTTGTATGTGTATATACTTACAATGACAATAAATTATTATTATTATTATTATTATTATTATTATTATTATTATTATTATTATTATTATTATTATTATTATGATAGCGACACTAAGATGTAAAAAACAAATAATTGTAAGCAAATCATGTAACACGATGTTTAACAAGCACAAATCAAATGTAGATAGAGTGAAAAACTAATAGTTTTTTTTAAAAAAAGAGAGAGGTGGTAACAGTGGAGGCCAGGGGAGCCCACTTGCAGCCTTCTAGATGTTGTTGGGTTGCAACTCCCATTAACCATGAGAGGTGATGAGAATAACATCTGGAGGGCTGTACCAGCATCTGTCTTTTGAAAAGGAATCTAGACATAAAGGATAAAAGTGTCTTGAGGGGAAAAAATCTAATGAGGATTCTGCATTGTACAAGTCACATCTTAATACAGTGGTGCCTCGCTTAACGAGCGCCCCATTTAACGATGAATCCGCATAGCGATGGAGTTTTTGCGATCACAAAAGCAATCGCATTGCGATGTTTTAAATGGGGGGAAATCGCTTTGTGATGATCGTGGGGAAGCGCTTCCCCACGATCATCCCAAAGGCCCCCCTGAAAGAGAGCCCCGAAGCACAGCTGATGGGCAGGTGTTTGCAAAGATCGTGGGAAGCCAGCTTCGCAAACCCCCACCAACTTCGGCACTCTCTCTCTCTCTCTCTCTCTCTCTCCCCTCGCAAGTCCAGCCTGGACAGGGAGACTCAGTCACCCTGGCCGTGGCGGTGCGGTGCCTCAGTCTCCCTGCCCAGGCTGGACCTGCAAGGAGAGAGAGAGAGAGAGAGAGAGAGAGCGGGGTTTGCGAAGCTGGCTTCCCTCCGATCTTTGCAAACACCCACCCATCAGCTGTGCTTCGGGCTGGCTCTCTCTCCCCTGGGGAAAGAAAGCCAGCCTGAAGCACAGCTGATGGGCGGGGGGTTTGCAAAGATCGTGGGGAAGCCAGCTTTGCAAAACCCCGCTGACTTCGGCGTGCACTCTCTCTCTCCTCCCCCTCGCAACTCCAGCCTGGGCAGGGAGACTCAGTCACCCTGGACCTGGCGGTGCGGTGCCTCAGTCTCCCTGCCCAGGCTGGACCTGCAAGGGGTGGAGAGAGAGAGAGAGAGAGAGCGCCGAAGCACAGCTGATTGGCGGTTCCAAAATGGCCGCCCGCTGTGTTGCCTCGCTTTAGAGGCACCGAAAATGGTGGCGGGATGGAGGATTTTCGCTTAAAGGTGAGTTTTTTCCCCATAGGAATGCATTAAACGTGTTTTAATGCGTTCCTATGGGGTTTTTTGCCCCGCATAGCGACGAATCTGTATAGCGACAATTTTTTCGGAACGGATTATTGTTGCTATGCGGGGTACCATTGTATTGATATTTAATCATTTCCTTTCCAAATTGCTAAACAAATCATTGCTTTTCCTTTTGTGTGCTTAAAATTCTGCTTCTTAAATTTTAGATTTTGTTTTTAGGTGATGTTGTATAATGGGCAAATTGTTTTACTTTCTTATCAGAATCTCTGAATGTGGGATCTGGTGATGGGTCAGTTCGAACATGTAGACGAGGTCAGAACAGGAACATACATACAACAAAAGCAGATGCAGAGATAAAAGTTATTGAAGAACTTTGTAAAGAACACGATTGTAATTTGGATGAGGTAAGATCAATTTTGGGCTTTTAAAATATTTTTCTCATTTTTTTGAAATATTGTTGATTGTCTTTTAACCGTAAAATCCCACGAGAGCTTTGTCTATAGGATGTCCTTGGATCCTTGCCCTCATGTCTTTTCCACTTTATTGCCAATAGTGTTCAGTCCCTCTTCTGCTGGAGGGACTTTCTTTGTCCCAGTGAAGCTATCACATTCTGCTTGGTGTAGCTGTAAGTTTCCGGGGATATTTTTTGCAGCAGTGAGTATGCTTAGATGGATTGCTCATCTCATCCTCTCTAAAAGCCAGGAATAAGCATGCTAGCTTTGAATATACAGTGGTGCCTCGCTTAACGAGCGCCTCGCTGAGCGATGAAATCGCTTAACGAGGCGCTCTGGGCCATCGCTGGAGCATTCGCTCAGCGATGGCCCCTATGGCGATTTTTCGCTTTGCGATATTCGCTAAGCGATTCACTTAGCGAATATCGCATAACGAAGCAGGGGAGAACAGCTGATCGGCGGTTCCAAAATGGCCACCGGAAGGTCCGCGCCACATTTTCGCGCCCTGCCCTCGCTTACCGAGGGCGCGAAAATGGCGGCGCTATGGCAGAACCCCGCATAGCGGTGAGTTTTCAAGCCATAGGAACGCATTGAATGAAGTTCAATGCGTTTCTATGGCTTTTTTATTTCTGCACAGCGATGTTTCGCTATAGCGAAGGTTAATCTGGAACGGATTAACCTCGCTATGCGAGGCACCACTGTACTTCCTATTCAAGGAGAAAACCTCTTTCAGATTCCTTCCTTCCTAATTCTGAGGCAGGTTCCTTAAAATATTCATTGATATTTTCCTTTCTTCAAGAAAAGGAAAGCAATCATTTGTTTTAATGAAAGGCAGTGCAGTGGTAGCAGTGCAACTACCCTGTTTTCCTGAAAATATGACCTAATCTGAAAATAAGCCCTAGTATGGTTTTTCACGATGTTCGTAATATAAGCCCTACCCTAAAAATAAGCCCCAGTTAAGTGAAACCCTCGCCTCCACTGTTGTGCATCAACCAGAAGAAGATGACATGACTGTATTTGAATAAATGTAGACTATTGTGCATGAAAAAAATAAAACATCCCATGAAAATAAGCCTGAATGTGTTTTTTGGAGCAAAAATTGATATAAGACCCTGTCTTATTTTCGGGGAAACACAGTATAATGCTTAGTTTCCTGTGAAATCAAAACAGCCCATGGTCAGCTCTCACAGCACAGTAGCAAGAAAGCCCAGAGGAGGAAGACAGGCCAGAGGACAACTGTTCTAGAGGTTAAATTCACCTATGTGGGTAACTCCCATATTTGTGCAGGCAGACAGCTGTTCTAGGAACAAAGTCCTTCCAAGTGGATGTAGCTTCCTACTTGACATGGGACTCTCTTGTTTTCCCTTGCCTGGCCAGAAAAAAGTTTCTTGCACCAAATGGGGCACAGAAATAATTTGAGGCATCAACCAGATGATAGATGTTATATTCCTAGTTACTGTTTCTAAGTCATAATTTTTAGTTTCATGGTTCTGAACCTACTACTGTATTTGTCAGGGACAGCTCCTTGTTTTGTCTATTCTGTAGTGACCCCTTCTGAAACCAGATGTAGGTTGCTTATCCACTTAGGAGGATGTGTAATCTATGTACAGTGGTGCCTCACTTAACGACGATAATCCGTTCCAGGAAAAACATCGTAAAGGGAAAAAAACCCATTGAAACGCATTGAAACCTGTTCAATGCGTTCCAGTGGGGTAAAAACTCACAGTCCAAGGAAGATCCTCCATACGGCAGCCATTTTTGCTGCCTGTATAGCGAGGAATCTGTCCCTAAACACAGCGGGGTGCCATTTTAATTACCCGGTGGCCATTTTGAAACTGCCGATCAGCTGTTAGAAAAATGTCATTTTGCGAAGAATCAGTTCTCGAAGCAAGGAACTAATCGCAAAGCGAAATTCCCCCATTTAGACCAACGTTTTGCAATCGCAGTTGCGATCGCAAAAAGATTGTCGTTAAGTGGATTCGTCGTAATGCGGGGCAATCGTATTGATGACGCTTGACGATGACTCCACTTGACGATAAAATCGCTTGATGATGAGTTTTTTGCGATCACTATTGCGATCGCAAAATGATGGTTCCTATGGGTTTTTTTTCGCTTTAGGTTGATTAGCCGCCTAGAGTGGTCATAACAACCAGATAGGCGGGATATAAATAGAATAAATAAATAAAATAAAATTAGGTCCCTGCTTCGCGAACCGTTTGTTTGCAAAACAATGTTTTTTCCGGCTCCGCAAAATGGCTTCCCTCCCTTCACAAAATAGCTGTTTTCCGGACCCCTGCTTCGGAAGACAGTGATTTTAAACAGCTTATCAGGGGTTCTCTATGGGTGATATTCGCTGGACGATGAGGTATTTCCCCATTGGAACGCATTGACTGGTTTTCAATACATTCCATTGTTTTTTTTTCACTTGATGACGATTTCGCTTAACAGCAATTTTCCTGGAACAGATTATCGTTGTCAAGCGGAGCACCACTGTAATCCTCAGGTGTAATCTGCACATTCCTGTTGTTGGAGCAAGTGAGAGGAGCAACCTGTCCTAGAATGCCTTCATCTGATGCAGAAAATAAATATGCTATAGTAATAAATGTATCATGGGAACCTCAGTGTTCCTTTTTCTTTCCTTGGACTTTTTGATCCCAGCATTTGGTTTGTCACCTACTGACATTTCAGTCACTAAATACACATGGCAGGAAGACAAGTGACAGCCAGCCTTAGTTTATTAATCATTTATTAAAATGCCACCTGATCTATATATTCCTTTTTGTTAGTGACAGAATGGTTGAAATCCACTAGTAAGTTGAAACTAGAGTAGGCTCATTGAATCAGTGGAATTTACATAGGTCTTGTCTCACTAAATCTCTGGTAATTTAATGAGCATAGTCTAGTTGTGACTTATTGCTGAATTTCAGCCAATAAAGCAAACCGCTGATCACTAAATTTGCTCTTTCCTCATTTCATTTCTATGTAGTGGGTTCACTGCTCTTGAATGGCCTTTGACTATCCAAAGCTAAAACAAAGGAAGACACTTTATGAGCAGCTGTTCCTAATGTTTTCTCTATTTGTGTTTTATCGGCCTGCCGGTTATGCAAGCAGGGAAGTTCAGCCTAAAAATGTTTGTAGTCATTTTAAGCTAAACCTAATATTTGGTGCTGGGGAACCATTCTGCCTTGTGTAGGGCCATTTTTCTAGTGGTAGTGGTAGGCTTGTTGTTTAGTCGTTAAGTCATGTCCGACTTTTCGTGACCCTATGGACCAGAGTACGCGAGGACCTCCTGTCTTCCACTGCCTCCCAGAGGTTGGTCAAATTCATGTTGGTAGCTTCGATGACACTGTCCAACCATCTCGTGCTCTGTCGTCCCCTTCTCCTCTTGCATCAGACTTTCCCAACATCAGGGTCTTTTTCAGGGAGTTTTCTCTTCTCAAGAGATGGCCAAAGTATTGGAGCCACAGCTTCAGGATCCTCCCTTCCAATGAGCACTCAGGCTTGATTTCCTTCAGAATGGATAGGTTTGTTCTCCTTGCAGTCCAGGGGACTCTCAAGAGCCTCCTCCAGCACCACAGTTCAAAAGCATCCATTCTTTAGCAGTCAGCCTTCTTTGTGGTACAGCTCTCACTTCCATACAGCTATTGGAAAAACCATAGGTTTGACTATGCGGACCTTTGTCGGCAAGTTGATGTCTCTGCTTTTTAAAATGCTGTTGAGGTTTGTCATTGCTTTCCTCCCAAGAAGCAGGAATCTTTTAATTTTGTGGCTGTTGTCGCCATATGTCACCATCTGCAGTGATGATGGAGCCCAAGAAGGTAAAATCTGCCACTGCCCCCATATCTTCCCCTTCTGTTTGCCAGGAGGTGATGGGACCAGTGGCCATGATCTTAGTTTTTTTTTCATGTTGCGCTTCAGACCATTTTTTGTGCTCTCCTCTTTCAACCTCATTAAAGGGTTCTTTAATTCCTTCTCACTTTCTGCCATCAGAGTGGTATCATCTGCATATCTGAGGTTGCTGATATTTCTTCCGGCAATTTTAATTCCGGGTTGGGATTCATCCAGTACAGCCTTTCTCATGATGTATTCTGCATATAAGTTAAATAAGCAGGGAGACAATATACAGCCTTGTTGTACTCCTTTCCCAATCTTGAACCAATCAGTTGTTCCATATCCAGTTCTAACTGTTGCTTCCTGTCCCACGTATAGATTGCTCAGGAGATAGATAAAGGGGTCAGGCACTCCCATTTCTTTAAGAATTTGCCATAGTTTGCTGTAGTCCACACAGTCAAATACTTTTGCGTAGTCAATGAAGCAGAAGTAGATATTTTTCTGGGACTCTCTTGCTTTCTCCATAATCCAGCACATGTTAGCAATTTGGTCTCTAATTCCTCTGCCTCTTCGAAATCCAGTGTGTACTTCTGGGGGTTCTCGGTCCACATACTGCTGAAGCCTACCTTGTAGGATTTTGAGCATAACCTTGCTAGCGTGTGAAATGAGTGTAATTGTACGGTAGTTAGAGCATTCTTTGGCACTGCCATTCTTTGGGATTGGAATGTAGACTGGTCTTTTCCAAACCTCTGGCCACTGCTGGGTTTACCAAACTTGCTGGCATATTGAATGTCGCGATAATTCAAGTGGGATGCCATCAACTGCACTGGCCTTGTTGTTAGCCAAGCTTTCTAAGGCTGACTTGACTTCACTCTCCAGGATGTCTGGCTCAAGGTTAGCAACCACATTATCTGGGTTGTCCAGGATAGCCAGGTCTTTCTGATATAATTCTTCTGTGTATTCTTGCCACCTCTTCTTGATGTCTTCTGCTTCTGTGAGGTCCATTTTTGTCCTTTTTCATGTCCATTTTTGCACAAAACGTTCCTTTAATATTTTCAGTTTTCTTGAACAGATCTCTGGTTTTTTCTGTAGCTTTCCCTATCTCTTGCATTTTGTTTCCCTTCTCTGCTATTTGTAAGTCTTTGTTGGACAGCCACTTTTCTTTCTTGCCTTTCTTTTTCTTTGGGAAATTTTTCATTGCCTCCATCCATAGTTCTTCAGCCACTCTGTCCACCAAATCGAGTTCCTTAAATCTGTTCTTCCACTGTGTATTCATAAGGGATTTGGTTTAGATTATACCTGAGTAGGCCAGTGGTTTTTCCTACTTTCTTCAGTTTAGGCTTGAGTTTTGCTCTAAGAAGCTGATGATTGGAGCCACAATCAGCTCCAGGTCTTGTTTTTGCTGATTGTCTAGAGCTTCTCCATCTTTGGCTGCAGAGAATATAATCAATCTGATTTCAGTATTGCCCATCTGGTGATGTCCATGTGTAGAGTCGTCTCTTGTGTTGTTGGAAAAGAGTGTTTGTGATGACCAGCTTGTTCTCTTGACAAAACTCTGTTAGCCTTTGCCCTGCTTCGTTTTGAACTCCAAGGCTAAACTTATCCGTTGTTCCTTTTATTTCTTGACTCCCTGCTTTACCATTCCAGTTCCCTATAATGACAAGAACATCTTTCTTTGGTGTCAGTTCTAGAAGGTGTTGTAAGTCTTCATAGAATTAATTGGTCAGTTTCATTCTCCTCAGCATCGGTGGTTGGTACATAAACATGCATTACTGTGATGTTGAAAGCTCTGCCTTGGATTCGTATTGAAATCATTCTATCATTTTTGAGATTGTATCCCATTACAGCTTTTCCCACTCTTTTGTTGACTATGAGGGTTACTCCATATCTTCTACAGGATTCTTGCTCACAATAGGAAATATGGTAATCGTCTGAACTGAATTCGCCCATTGCTGTCCACTGACGCCCAGGATGTCAATGTTTATTCTTGCCATCTCCTGTTTGACCACATCCAGCTTACCAAGGTTCATAGATCTGACATTCCAGGTTCCTATGCAGTATTTTTCTTTGCAGCATTGGACTTTCCTTTCACTTCCAGGCGCATCCACAGTTGAGCGTCCTTTCAGCTATGGCCCAATCACTTCATTAGCTCTGGAGCTACTTGTACGTGTCTTCCTCAGTAGCATGTTGGGCGCCCCTCGCTCATCTTCCAGCGTCATGTCTTTTAGCCTTTTGTTTCTGTTCATGGGGTTTTCTTGGCAAAGATACTGGAGTGGCTTGCCGGTTCCTGCTCCAGGTGGATCGTGTTTAGTCGGAACTCTCCACTATGACCTGTCCGTCTTGGGTGTCCCTGCACGGCATAGCCCATAGCTTCTCTGATTTACTCAAGCCCCTTCACCACGACAAGGCAACAATCAGTGAAGGGGAGTGGTAGGCTGCAAATAAAAACAGATCTCTCTACAGTTTGCAATGTTACCATTTTATCTCTTTTCTAGGTGAAAAATATTTACTTCACTAGTTTTATTCCGTTCTTGAATTCGATAGGCATTACATCTTCCAGCAGACTCCCAGAGGTAATATTTGAATAATATTAAAATCTTTAATTTACAGGTAGTCACAGAGTGCCTTCGTTCTTTTCTACTGTATTAAAGGCAAGCTCTATTGCCTTTAATTCTTCATAAATATTTTGTTTACAGGAAATTAATAGCAGCTTAACAGCATATAAATAGGATATGTAATTGAAAGATTTGAGAGTATAGACAGGTTTAAGTGTCACATAAAAAGAACTGAGCTTGGTAACTTACTTGAATGCTTTTTTCAAGATCTTGATAAGATTGCCAGGAGAGGTGCTCTTGAGAATGCCATCATCTCTGATGTGAGAGAGATTTCTCCTGTCTTCTTCCTGCATTCTGGAATGCACTCCCATGGCAATTGCAGTCAGTTCCCAATCTCACATTGCCTACAGTAAGTGTGTGAATGCATATATACATATATATACATTGGGTCTCTATAAGTCAGTTTTGTCTGGGCAACACATAACAAGAGCAACAGATAATTAGTAATAGAGATGGAGTATTCATATTCAGATCCTTGGGGATATGAAGACGAACAGCAGCACTACAGATGCCAAGGAGGTCCATTCCCTCCCCCAGACCCAGCCGGTCCACTCACCATTTGGCATGCGGTGCTTAGCTCCATTGTTGCCCTTGTCATGCTAATTGCAAAAAGAGCTTGGCCAGCTCTTCCCTGCCTCCCTGCACAGTCAGCCACTCATTAGTTGGGTAGGGAGACTCCCTGTCCTGCCTCCGCATCTGACTGGTCAGTTATGCAGGGAGGCAAGGGAGAGCTGGCTGGGCTCCTTCTGTAATTGGTGAGACAATGACAACAGATCTGATTGCTGCATACTGAACAATGACTGGACCGGCTGGTTCTGGGGGGAGGGAGTGGACCTCCATGGCACCTGTGGTTCCGCTATTCATATTTGTATCCCCAGGGATACGAATACTCCATCTCTAATTAGTATGTTGTCACTGTATGTCTGTCTCCTAATCTTTTAATCTTCTGAAATCTAAGGCTGAGAATATATCATGCATATACGAAGAAATGTATCTGCAGAACAAGGATATTGATGCCCGATTGTTTCTGGAAAAAGATGAAACTTTACAATATGATCGCACAGAATGGTAACTACTACTGCTGTTGCTGCTGTTACTCATCCTACTCCTTCCTTCCTTCCTTCCTTCCTTCCTTCCTTCCTTCCTTCCTTCCTTCCTTCCTTCCTCCTCCTCCTGCTCTGTACAGTATTATGTTTTGCAGTTACCCCAACTCTTTCAAAAGGAAAAGATGTAGTTCTGAAAAAAAAATTATATTTGTAAATTAGTTAAGAATTCAATATTGGGAAAATGGTGCAGACTTTTCAGCAGTGGAGAAAATTCCTTGAAAGATGGAAGATGCCTGTTTCTTAAGTGACCATCAAACCTTTGCTAAAAGCCCCTTATGGGGGATGCAGTTACATTGGATTTCCTGCATTTACTCTCTCTCTCTCTCTCTCTCTCTCTCTCTCTCTCTCTCTCTCTCTCTCTGTGGGGGGGGGAGCTGGACTAGATGACTTCTGAATGGTGTTGTTTGATGGTCTTCTTTTGTAATCATGATAAAAGAAGTATGTGTGATTTCAATTGGCAAAGTTGTGGCTTGGAGAGAAGTGGGGAAAAAGTGAGCATTGGTATCTAAAACAACAACACTGAAAAAAAGTATGAAAAAGAGGAAGGATTTTTCTTGAAAACATTCTGCCTGCATGAAATAGGTATGAAATCATAGTGTGTACATGGGAAATATTTGATGGGCAGATGAAGAGGTGAGGGAAATGACATTCTCTCTAGGACAAAGGGTTTTCATATATGCTGGCAGGGATATATGAAGCCTGTGTATGCCTACAAATTGCTTTTTTCTCATGTTAAGTTTACAGTTAGAGAGAACACCAACAAAAGATTCAGATGAAGATTTTTGCACTGTACTTCCACAGACCCCTGTTCGGTAAGAATACTTTAAGTTAGCAGAATTTTGTATTGAATATAAAAGTTTTAAAATTATTTCTACTTCTATAGCAATCATATATCAGTCTTGCAAGTGTTATGAACCTTCAGTTCTTATGATTTAAGTGAGATATAGTTCCACAAAAAAGTACTCATAATGTTGGACAGATGAAACAGTGGACAAAATCCTACTAAATGTACCCTAGTGCAGTGGTCCCCAACCTTGGGCCTCCAGATGTTCTTGGACTTCAATTCCCAGAAATCCTGGTGGTGAAGGCTTCTGGGAGTTGTAGTACAATAACATCTGGAGGCCCAAGGTTTAGGACCACTGCCCTAGTAGAAACTGATGATGTCATCAACTGGTGCTGATAACTTAGTCGCAATCAATTGAAAGCTTTCTATTCTCCATTAGGTTCCAAGGCTCCCCTAAGGTTCTCCTTTGCTCTGTGGAAGCCTTGGTATCGGGATCTGTGCACAGCCTTTATTTACCAAAAATTGCTGCTAGATTGCTGCCGCTGGGATTGCAACTAGTGGTGGCCATCTGGTGGCAGTTTTGGATGATTATAGGGTCCTTCCTCCCACCCCACCCCCCATTCCAGAGCTTTTGAAGGCTTCCTCAAGGCAAAAGGGAGCCCTAGGGAGCCTTTGAACATTAAATGGGAGATAGAGAGCTTTCAATTAATTTAAATTAAATTTTATTGGTGCTAGCTGATGGTGTCACCAGCTTCTGCTGGTATAAGTCAACAGAATTTTGGCCAATGTATAATTTGTTTGGCCAAACAGTCTTCAAGTTCAGTTCTCAAAAGTGTAATGCTCTTGCTAACAACTTCTGTAGGCAAAGACAATGCTTGTGGATATTCTATGATATTACATCACTTCAGAAGTGTCAGAATACCCACTGTTGCCCATAATTAGTTTTCATCAGGATAAATTGTCTGAAATGCTTCTGAGGATAATAAAGATACAAATGAAAGGAAATATTATAGCAGTATTGTGATGACACTATAAAAGGCTATTTTTATTGCCTCAATTCTTTAGATGATTTTCCCTCCTCTGTTCAGAATCATTGTGTATTTCAGGAAGTCATAATAAAAACAATTTCTCCCTATAAAGGGCTGCAATGAATACTATTCAACAGCTAATGGTGGTTTTAAACTCTGCAAGTGATAAACCATCAGAGAATCTTGTCTCCTACTTTAATGTAAGTATCAGCATTTTTGCTTAAGGGAGCAATTTGAATGGATGCAGAATAGAAATAAAAATTTTATGTCATATTGTGTCACATATATTCTATTATCTAAGATCTATTTTAATTACTTTTTTCACTATTTTAAGATAATGTATCTCAATATTGTCTTGTGATCTTTTCTAACTAATAATATTCTATAAGTGTTGCTTAAATGCCTCATTTTAAAATAGCATATTCATATTTCTTACGTTTCCCACCCCCTTTTTTTAATAGTTGTCCTCTTATTCCCTGATAGGGAGGGCACACAGAGATAAAGTAGGATATTTTTGGCAGAGTTTTGGACTAAAATGAGAAAATAAACTTACTAAAAAGTCTCTCTCTCTCTCTCAATGGAATTATTTTCATCATTGTGACAGATTCTCCGGTCCTGTAGAGAGTTGCGGGTGACTCTTTAGAATAAATTAAATACGGAAACAGATAAAGGGGGGGGAATCCCATTCCAATGGTAGCCTGCTTGATTTCCCCTTCTAATATTGGATATATCCCATTGCTAGCATTACTAATTGTAATGAGATTAAAAAAACATTTTCTGAAATTCTTCTCTTATATTCAGTTCTTTTACTTGTTAGACTCAGATAATAAATTCTTAAAGTAATGTACAAATGGGAAAGAAGTGTCAAGTTAAAATACATGGTGAAATAAAAACCTACATTAAAATTCTAAACTATTCTGAAAACTTGGTGCAATAAATAGTGAATGCAGAACTAAAAGCACCCAACTGCTATCAGTAGGAGAGACAATAATTCTGCCTGTAAATATTAAATTATCTGTAAGATCTTTAAAATTTCATTCGATGTTAACTAATTAATATCCATAAAATGGATCACAGAATGAAAAACAGCTAACTTGACATTGAAAGAATGATAGTCTGGACATCAGGTAAGCCTTTCAGGGTCAGCCTTTCAAAGGAGAGAATTCTCCACCTTTGACCTCAAAGGGAGAGCATTCTGCCGCTTCCAGTCCACTGAGGAGAAACCTGTGTAGTAATCCACATGCCTCAGATTAAGAAGATACTCAGAAACCTGCACTGATTTTCCTAACAATTAGACAGTAATACATTAGGGAACAGGCATTCCTTAATGAACTGAGGTCCCAAGTCATGCAGTGTTTTTATAAGTCAAAGTAAGTACTTTTTGGAAACACATTGGAAGCCAGTGAAAGTGAGAGGGAACAAGCATAGTACCTTCATTATGCCTGGTTCTACATAGAACATTTTGGCTATATTCTTTCTGTGTGTATTAGTGTAATAGATATTAGGAAATCCCACCACAGGAGATCATTGGAGCTTGACTACCTATCATATCTGATGAACCAGCTGAAGTTGTTAAATGACAGTTTGCAGTGTGTAAATCTTTTGAGGATTCCCAGCTGCAATCTCTAAAATAATATATTAATTGGATTAGTACATTCTGTCTTTGGAAGTTTCATAGACATTCCTTTCAACAAAGTGGAAAAGATGAGTGACTTTATACTCTCAAGAGTCCTTGAAATACTGTACATAGTCCCCTTTTCTGTTGTAACAACAGCTGACTTTATAGTGCAGGTTGTAAAGCTTGGACTTGAGTTATTTTGTTCATATGATAAAATGTATCTATTTATCTGAAAGACAACTTTTTCTAACCCTTGCAGAATTGCACAGTAAATCCTATGCCAGAAATATTAGAAAGCGTAGAAAATCTGGGTTGTGTCTTCAAAGAAAAATTTGCTGAAGCAGTTGGACAAGGATGTGCTGAGATTGGATTGCAGGTATGATTCTATATTACTAATCTATAAATTAATAGAGGGCGAGATGGAAAAAATATATATTTTTTGCTTTTCATTTGATAGAACAGCAGTTCCCAACCTTTTTGGGACCATGGACTGCCTGAGCCTCTGAGGAAGGCGGCCCTGCCCTGCAGGTGCGCGCGGGTGAACGCAGGCTCTCGGGCACATGCGCGAAGCGGTGGGGGAGCGCCTGCCCACCAGCGTGAGCGCTCCCCCACTTCTTCATGCATGTGCAGGGGCACCTTCACACCTGCCCAACCCTTTGCACAGGCACTCAAGCGCATGTGTGAAGGGATGGGGGAGCACTCACGCCGGTGCTGGCACACACGCACGTGTGTAAAACAGCTGTGGGGAGGATGGGCATGCAGGTATCCCTGTGCATGCACAAAGGGGTGGGGGAGCGCTCACGCCAGCGCTGGCACGCGTGCACATGCGCAAAGCAGCTGTGGGGAGGGGAGTGTGTGCAGGGGGGGAGGTCTGTCTTCGCGGCCCAGTCTGGCTCAGGCCAGGGACCGGCACCAGGCCGCAGACGGGGTTGGCGACCTCTGGGATAGAACATGTGAGAGTCATGAAGAGGAAACAGGACATTTTAAATTAAATTTTAAATTTTAGAAGACTCATCTGCTATTTGCTGATGGTAATTTTTGGTAATCAAAGACTTATTACAACAATTTGACCCTGCTGGTGATGTTATCTTTCTTTTGCTGGTGTAAGTTATGCAAAAGGATTTCAGCCAGTCATTGTTAATGGCATTGGATAACTATTATTTTACAATTATGGAAGCAAAATTGAGATTTTTAAAAAAAGTATTCCAGTGAGCTAAAAGGAAAAAACACCATCCTACTCTGCAGAAAGAACAATGACAGAAAAGACTTGAGCAACATACAAACATACATGGCTGTATGAAATTTGAGAGGCTGAAACATTGAATGCAAGTGGAGTATTTTTAAAAAAGCATATTGCATCAGGAAAGAGAAGTTATGTTGGCAGTACTCTAGACTTTTGTCCAACATACTTCACTATTTGCTAGTACAGTGGTGCCCCGCATAGCGACATTAATCCGTTCCAGGATTAAGTCGCTATCCGGATTCTTCACTATGCGGGGGGGGAACCCATAGGAACGCATTAAACTCCATTTAATGTGTTCCTATTGGGGGAAAACTCACTGGTAAGCAAAGAATCCCCCATCCGGCCGCCATTTTTGCCGCCTCGGTAAGCGAGGCGCGAAAACGCTGCGGGCGGCCATTTTCCCCCAGCTGGGTGGCACTGGCTTCGGAGCGCCCGCGGTGGAGGCTTCCCCGGAGGTTGCTCTGAAGCCAGCGCCGCCCAGCTGGGCGGCACAAGCTTCAGAGCAACCTCCAGAAAGCGTCCACCACGGGCACTCCAAACCTTCTCCCCCCAGCTGGGCGGCGCTGGGACCGTGGTGGAGGCTTCCCCGGAGGTCACTCTGAAGCCAGCGCCGCCCAGCGGCAGGTGTAAGTTATGCAAAAGGATTTCAGCCAGTCATTGTTAATGGCATTGGATAACTATTATTTTATAGTTATGGAAGCAAAATTGAGATTTTTTAAAAAAGAAAAAACACCATCCTACTCTGCAGAAAGAACAATGACAGAAAAGACTTGAGCAACATACAGACATACATGGCTGTATGAAATTTGAGAGGCTGAAACATTGAATGCAAGTGGAGTATTTTTAAAAAAGCATATTGCATCAGGAAAGAGAAGTTACGGTATGTTGGCAGTACTCTAGACTTCTGTCCAACATACTTCACTATTTGCTAGTACAGTGGTGCCCCGCATAGCGACATTAATCGCTATGCGATTAACGCATTAAACTCCATTTAATGCGTTCCTATTGGGGGAAAACTCACCGGTAAGCGAAGGGTAGGGTTCCTTCGCTTGCACTTGTCTTTGACAAGTACTGATGCTGGTTCTAAACCATAAAACTCTAAACGGCTTGGGGCCAAGCTATCTCAAAGACCGCATCTCCCATTATGAGCTTAATTGGGTGCTGTGATAATCAGGATAGGCCTTTCTCACAGGTCCCTTTGGTGGGGACACAGGAGAGGGCCTTCTCTGTTGTTTCTCCCAGACTTTGGAACTCCCTCCCACAGGAGGCCAAACTGGTCCCATCTTTGCTGCCTTTCCACAAAGAGGCAAAGACCTTTCTCTTAAGGCAAACTTTTCCTCAGTGACTGGCTGCCTGAGTGGGATTTTTAAATGGATTGTTGTGCCTTGTTGCTTTGAATATGTTTTTGGTGTTGATTGTTTTAGTGTGGTATATGTGTGTGTGTGTGTGTGTGTGTGTGTGTGTCTACTCTTGGTGGTTTACATATATGATAAAAATAAACTAAAGTAAAATTCAGATTAATCACAGAGTCCAAGATGGGAAAAGAAGAAAAAAAGGATAATTGTTTGATTTTTTTTTAATGTTTGCATACTTACTATGCTTAGCTTTTAAATATTAAATATTGGCTTGTATGGATGTACGCCACCTGGGCTCCTTTTTAAGGAGAAAGCTGAGTATAAATAAATAAATAAATAAATAAATACATACATACATACATACATACATACATACATACATACATACATACATACATAAATTTGTTGGATACTATATTTCTGTAATGGAATGGCATTGTATTACACCAACTTTTTAATATTTGTTTTCAGAGGTATAGACTTGGTGTGCGGTTATACTACAGAGTGATGGAATCTATCTTAAAGTCGGTAAGTTTTCAGGATATGCAATTTTTGAAAAAAGATACCTTTTTTTCAATATACTGAAGTTTTTATTTATGCATTTTTGTAGGAAGAAAAACGGCTATCAATTCATAATTTTAGGTATGTTTCCAATGCATACTTTAATTCCCATAGAATTTAAAAAACATTGAAGGACATTTTTGACACCATTTTCTTACAGCAAACTTCTGAATAACAAGATATTTCATACATCGCTGCTGGCCTGTTCTCTTGAAGTTGTCATGGCTACATATGGTAGTAAGTCAAACTTAACATCCATATATTCGTTAAGCAACGTCTTTCTCAGATTTTAATCTTGGAGCAGAATGTGTTGTTTTCAGTATAATTTCAGTGATAATAGTAACTTGAGGATAGAGAATTTGTTAAGCTAAATCCTCAAATGACACATATTGCAACATATGAAGAAATTACTTTAAGCAGGGCTTTGTGTAATTCAGTACAGTATTAAAATAACTAGTTCTATTCTCTTTAGCCTCAAGGAGTGCTTCACAACTTGATAATGCAAATATGGAAAGAGACTTGTCTTTCCCATGGATCATCAATGTACTCAACCTAAAAGCCTTTGACTTATACAAAGTTATTGAAAGCTTCATTAAAGCGGAACCAAGCCTGACAAGAGAGATGATAAAACACTTAGAATGCTGTGAACACCAAATTATGGAATCCCTTGCATGGCAATCAGTGAGTTCTCTTTTATACACGTTGCTTGGTGTTTGTATACATGAAATGCATGAAATAAGAAAATCTCATTTCAGCAATTATTTAGATAGGATTAATATATATTGTAGTTTTCTTACGTGCCAGTTATTTATAAGTAAGTCTTAGAAGCTCCCTTTTAGGACAAATTCTCCCAAGGTGAAATACAGGACAATATCAAAAATAAATAAATAAATAAAAATAAAAGAGGGAGAGAGAGAATCAAAATGTAACATTTAAACATCTTTTCTGAAGCAGATGAGATGAAGATGCTCTCTCTGGACACCTTTCCATTTCTTTTTCACTGGTTTTGACATTCTGGATTGGACATTTCCCTCTTGATCTTATGTTTGCTGTGAAGGACTTTGATGGTTCAGTGTGATGGTTGGGTTGGGTTAAGTTGGAGAATGTAGTACACACGGTGACCATAGGTGGCTAGATCTCACATAGGTGATATTTGAATTGCAGTGAGTTTTCAGTTTCAGATCTTTAGGAATGATGTATATCTCTTTATTATAGCTTAGAAAGATCTGTTTAGATCTTGATGTATTTATTGTTTAGACTGATGGACTTGTATTCCAAATATAGTGCCCTCCATTGCATTGATTTCCAGGGAGATAACTACATAATAGTAAAAGACCAAACAAAGGAGCCGTATGATACCAGAAAGAATGGGGGGGGGGGAATTAGTAAACAAAAATTAGTATGTCAAGAACTTATGCAAAAACATATCTCACAAAATATAGAATATCTGCCATCAGAAGTGTCATCCCAAATGGGGTTATACCACATTTCGCCACTAAACTCTGTCACTTTGTATTTAACCATAATTCTGATAACACACTTTCAGGATCAATAGTGCTGTCATGGGTATATGAATGGTTGTAAATACTCCAACATCTTAATAGTGAAGTTGGAATATTGTTTTTTTCAGATATTGTCAAACCGTCTTCACTTTTTGAGATTCAGTGAAGACATATTTATTACCTCAATTCATGGCAAAAATGAAGTTCTTCCTCATGGTCTCCATGAATGCTTGTGTGATCTTTCGAACCTTCTAGAGCTGAAAAATCAGGAGATAATTAGAGGCCCACCCTCCCACATTGCCTGTTCACGCCTCTAATAATAATAATAATAATAATAATAATAATAATAATAATAATAATAATAATAATAATAATAA